GGCAGGATTATTCTTCAGTGTGTGTGTGGAGGGGGGTGCGGGGCAGGGGCTGTCCTGCAGGATGTTCAACAGCACCCTGCCCTCTACCCACTAGATGCCAGCAGCATTCCTGAAGTTGTGATAGCAAAGAATATCTCCAGGCATTGAAAAAGAATCCTGAGGAGACAAAATCACAGCTGGTTGAAAACCACTATTCTGGTGTGTCTATAAATATGGTGGCAGTGCCCCTCTCCCTTTGTGTGATGCCAAGGAGAGTGTGGAAGAAGAAAGCCTGAGTCTGATGTCATGATCCCAAACTTGGGAAGCTGAGCCTTATTGAGGAGAGCAGGGTGGTGATAGACAGCGCTGGACTGGGGGAGTCTGAAGACCAGCCATCTAGCCCTGGCTCTGATATGTGTTAGCTGTGCGTGGGCATGAAGCAATCATTTTGTCTGTTTCTTACCATTGTGTTCCTTGTGTCTAATGAATTGAAGCCACTTCTTTTTTTAAAATAATTTTTTATTTTTCAATTATAGTTGACCTACAATATTTTATTTGTTTCAGATGTACAACATAGTAATTAGACATTTTTATACCTTTATGAAGTAATCACCCCAATAAATCTAGTACCTATCTGACACCATACATAATTATTGAAATATTATTGACTGTATTCCCTATGCTATACTTTATATCCCCATGACTATTTTGTAACTATCAATTTGTACTTCTTAATTCATTCACCTTTTTCAACCACCTCCCCCACACCCCCTCTCATCTGGAAAACATAAAAATGTTCTCTGTATCTGTAGTTTGTTTCTGTTTTGTTTGTTTTTTATTTTGTTTTTTAAGGTTCTGTGTATAAGTGAAATCATATGCTATTTGTCTTTGTCTGACTTATTTCACTTCGCATAATATCCTCTAGGTACATTCATGTTGTTGCAGATGGCAAGATTTTATTTATTTTTATGGCTAAGTCACATTGTATCCTATATAATAAAAGGGTAATATGCAAGTTGACCAAACCCCAAACCAGGGAACAACCGGTCGCTATGGCATGCACTGACCACCAGGGGGCAGGCCCAGTGACCCACCTCCGTGGCCGCAGTCAGACATCCCCTGAGGGCTCCCAGACTGTGAAAGGGCGCAGGCTTGGCTGACCCTCCCCGCCACATGCACGAATTTTGTGCACCGGGTCTTTAGTATTGTATATATGTACCAGTTTTTCTTTATCCATTTATTTATTGGTGGACCCTTAGGTTGCTTCCATATCTTGGCTATTTTAAATAATGCTGCAATGTACATAGGGATGCATATGTCTTTTCAAATTAGTGTTTGAGGTTGCTTCAGATAAATACCCAGAAGTGTAATTGCTGGATCCTTCTTTGTCTTTTGTTATAGCCTTTGTTTTAAGTCTATTTAGTGTGATATAAATATTACTAACCCAGCTTTTTTGCTTGCTTGTTTCCATTTTCATGAAATATCTTTTTCAGTCTGAGTGTTTTTCAATCTGAAGTGAGTCTCTTGTATATAGCATATGTAAAAGTCTTGTTTCCTTATTCATTTAGCCACCCTATGTCTTTGATTAGAGCATTTCATCCATTTACATTTAAAGTAACTGGTGATAGATATGTAGTTATTGGCATTTTATTGTTCATATTTTTTACTTTTTTTTTTTGCTTCTTTTTAAAAAGGTTCCTTTAACATTTCTTGTAATACTGGCTTGGGGGTGAACTCCTTTAGATTGTTTGGGAGGAGGGATTTGGGCAGTTCTTTATCTGTCCTTCAATTCTAAATGATAGTTTTGCTGGATAGAATAATCTTGGTTGTAGGTTCTTGCTTTCCATCACTTTGAATATTTTGTGCCATTCCCTTTTGGCCCACAAAGTTTCTGTTGAGAAATCAGCTGATACTCCTATGGGCATTCCCTTGTTGGTAGCTAACTGCTCTTCTCTTAATGCCTTTAAGATTCTCTTTTTGTCATTAACCATTGGCATTTTAATTATGATGCATCTTGGTGTGGGCCTCTTTGGATTCATCTTGTTTGGAACTTTCTGTGTTTCCTAGACTTGAATATCTATTTCCTTAGCCAGGTTAGGGAAGTTTTTCATCATTTTTTTCAAATAGGTTTTCAATAATTTGCTCGCTTTTTTATCCTTTTGGTACCCCTATGATGTGATCTGAATAGCAGTTTAAGGGGCTTCTGGAACAACATGCTGGTATGCTTGATGTTGTTCCAGAGGCCCCTTAAACTAGCTTCATATTTTTGGATTCTTTTTTTTTTTTGCTATTCTGATTGGGTGTTTTCTGCTACCTTATTTTCCATAGTGATTTGATACTCTGCTTCATTTAATTTACTGTTGATTTTTTTTCTAATGTATTCTTTATTTCAGTTACTGTATTCTTCATTTCTGACTGGTTCTTTTTTATGTATTCTATCTCCATATTTGTCTCTCCTATATCTTTGTTAAATTTCTCACTGAACTCATTGAGCATCATTATATCCAGTGTTTTAAATTCTGCATCTGGTAGATTGCCTGTCTCTATTTCATTTAGTTCTTTTTTGGAGATTTATTTTGTTATTTCATTTGGGACATGTTCCTTTGTCTCCTCATTTTGGCTGCATCCCTGTGTTTATTTCTATGTATTAGGTGGGTCTGCTACATCTCCCAGCCTTGGTAGAATGGCCTTATATAGAAGGCTTCCTGGAGGGCCCAGTGGCACAGTCTCCCTGGTCACCTGAGCTGGGTACTCTAGGTGTGTCTTTTGTGTGGATGGTGTGTGCCCTCCTATTGTAGTTGAGCCTTTTTGAAATAGCCGTGTAAGGGTTGACCCTCAGAGAAGCTCTTGTTCAGGGGCTAACCCTATGGAGCAGGATTCATTTCAGCAGGGCTCTGATGCTTGCAGAGTCTGCCCTTTGAGTGTGTCATTTGTGGGGGTAGTTGGGTGGTGCTCTGGTGTGATCTGAACCTGGTTACTGAGTGTGTTGGTTCTGGGCCTCTTGGGAGGGACATTGATGTAGGTTAAGTGCCCTGCCTGCAACAAAGTGATCTGGAGATGTTTTCCACTTGTGCTGGGCTCAGAGGATCCTGGGAGAGCCTAAGCTTTGAAATGAGGCTGGCTGCTGCTAGTGCCAGGCCTAGAGTTGCTTAGCAAGAGGTATGAGGCACACCCATGGCAGATGTTACTTATTTGGGGTTTGTAAACCTTTGAGAGATATTAGGAAAGTGCACAGCATGAGCCAAGATAGGCCATTTGTATGGAAAGCCACCAAAAGTGACTTGGGTGGGCCCATAAGTTGGGTAAGGTAGGGTCTAAGGGACTCACTAGGGTGGGGCAAATGGTGTTAGCAAGGTTGATGGGGACTCAGATAAAGCATCTGTCTGCACCTGCAGGGAGAGGGCTCAGCAAAGGAACGATGGCATCATGGCATCTATCAGCGCTTCTGTCTGGGAGAAAGCTGCCCCTCCAGGCCTCTCCCTCAAGTCAGACAATTCAGTTCCTCCCTCTATGTCCCTGGTGCCTTTTGAGCTGCTGCCCCAGTGCTGGAGCTCAGAGCAGGTAAGTCCATGAGGGAGTAAGTTAGTGCTCGGGCCCTTTAGGAGGAATACCTGGGACTTCAGCAGCCTTCTCTACCTCACTCAGCTATAATCCAAGCTGGTTCTTACAGCCAGAAGTTACGGAGACTTCTCTTCCCAGCACTGGAACCCTGAGCTGGGACTCCCGTTCTGGAGTTGGAACTCCTGCTCCTCAGGGAGAAATCTTGAAGCTGAGATATCCGTCCCAATTTTTAATCACCACACGTGAGTGTGGGGCCAGCCTGTTCCGTGTCTCTGCCCCTCGTACTAGTCTCAGCATGACTTCTTCTGTGTATCCTTAGTTCTAGGACTTCTGTTCAGTTAGACTTCCGGTGGTTCTCAAGGATGGTTTCTCTATAGTTTAGTTGTAATTTTGATGTGGCTGCAGGAGAAGGCAAGCACAGCATTTACACATTTTGCCATTTTGACCAGATAAGGTTGCTTCTAACTTTCATACTTTCCAGTTTATTACTCAGGGTATTTAAAGAAACAGACCTAATTAGATATCTCTCTCTCTCTCCCCCCTCTCTCTATCATTACTTATATACTTAATGTTTATTTTTTCATATAGGTAGAGATAGAGATGAGGAGATTTATTATGAGGAATTGGCTTACGTGGAGGCTAAAAGTTTCACATCTGCTGTCTGCTGATGGAGACCTTAGAAAGCTTGTGGTCTGTGATTCAGTCCAAGTTTGAAGGCCTGAGAACCAGGAGTGCCAATGTCCCTGGGCAGAAGAAGACGGATGTCTCAGCTCAAGCAAGAGGACAAAATAGCCCTTCCTCCACCTTTTGTTCCTTTCCGGCCCTCGGTTGCTGAGAGATGCCCCCCTGCACCATGAGGACCATCTTCTTAACTCAGTCCACCGACTCAAACGCTAATCTCTGCTGGAGACACCCCTCACAGATTCCCCCAGGAAATGTTGTTTTACCAGCTCTCTGGTTGTCTATGAGCCCCGTCAAGTTGACACATAAACTTAACCATCACAACATTCTATTGTTAAGTGGCAATGGCCTTGGGATGCAGCTTTCTGCCTCCAGGTTTCCCTGGAATTTTCATTCACATTTCAGAGTGCAGACTGGAGTCAAAGAAAAGCATAAAAGCAGATGAGGGTAGTGAGCCAGTGAGAGGTGCTGTGGGAAGGTGTTTACTGCCCTTTCTACCTTGTCCCTCTTCTTCTTCATTCCCTTTTCTCTCTCTTTTCGTGCCTAAAGTAGAGAGGCAGTTAGCCAGAATTAGCCAGGAGAGCAGAGGGAAAGAGAGACTGACATTTCATAGAGGGCCGGTGTGATTTTGATGTTTTGTATAGTCAATATGATTGAAAAATCCAAAAATTTCACTCAATACAGCAGGACACACACACACACACACACACACACACACACACACACACACACACGGTAATTAGTCCACCATGCCAAAGAATTTCGCTTTTTCAGTGGCTGTTGGGGAAGCGACAGTCATTTCACTCAGCAACATTCTATCATCAGATTATGGGAGAGGAATTTCATTGCAGGCATTTCCTCTTTCCTGTAAAAATTTAATTCCAATAGAAAGAGTTCTGTATCTGATAGGGGGGAAAAAGACAGAGGCAAATTACTCACCAATAAAAATGGCCTAATACGCAGGCACAGGGACCTATTTCAAATACAAATTCGTAAAAATTAAACCAGTGAAGTCGTGCTTCGAGTATGGTCATTTGCAAAACGAAGGACCTCACTTATTTCTCCTTTTCTAAGAAGAGGCAGCCCGTGCTGCTTTGATCCAAGTGCAGCCTGAGTGTCCGGAACTAGCAATGTTTGCAGAAGCGATTAGCTGAGAACGAAGGGCAACATCTGATCATGGGGAGGGGTAGTGAGTGGGCTCAGAGCCAGTGAACCTTGATCTGTTTTGCACACCTACCTATAATTTGTAAATCAGCCATACTGATCCTGGCAAGAGGAAGTCTACAAATAAAGGGATGCACTTGTTATTTTTGGAAATGCTTTCATTCAGGGGTGGGGAGGAGTAGCGCATACACTGACTAGAAATGAGCTAAGCTGCAGAGGGCACATGTATCCAGCACTGTGATGAAGGAAGGAGCGCAGAGCCTTCCCTAACTGCTGGTATTACTGAGAAGGCATCTCTCTCCCTTTTCAGTAGGGGAGAATCCTAACTAGGCTTGGGTCCTATCCGATAACCAGGGCATTCCATTACAACATATTTATAGAAATTCTTACATACATCCAAATAGCAGACACTTCTGACTTTGAAGTGAAGGATTAATATAGGTCCTAGGTTACCCACCTAAGAGAAAGCACCTTGAAAAAGGAATATTAGTTTACCAACTGAAGGCATTCTTATTAAAACCATGTATTTTGTGCTTGTATAGAAAGAATTTAGCACTCTGTTCTAAATGTTGACCATCTCAGCACTCCCCAAGGAGGATGGATGTGAGACTAAGAACCATCCACCAATTAAAAAACTGTTACCCCACCACCTATCTCATGTTAGATTTTGACCTTTCTTGCTGTCTTCACATATTCCTGTTATTTTCAACATCCTATTTTTCAAAACCCAGCTCCTTCACTCGTCAGCTGTGTGGCCACGGGAAGTTCTTAGACCGCTCTGAGCTTTTGTAAAATGAGGTAATAATCCCTACTTCAGATACAGTACACCCCACACAAGCAATACACCCAATCTCCCTTTTTCCTTTGCTCCCACATCTCTTCTATCCCTGGTCTGTGCTATATCTCATTACTGAACAACTTCTCTAACTTCCAATGCATTAACTTCTGTCTCTCACCTCAAGATGAGAAAAAAAAAAGATAAGAATAATCATGTGAACGCTGACAACTCAAGACTCTCCAGGGACATTTCTGGATGGGAATCATGTCCATGGTAAAGTCTACAATCCAATAGATGACAGCATTTCACATTCAAATGGCAACTATTTCTACTTCACTACACAAAAGAATGGGGTCATAGAAATTTGGAGATCTACAGTGAATTTTCTCTCATTGTTGCCTCTGTGTAATTTCATCCACAGGAAAAAAAGAAATAGATAAAAGTCTTTGCCACCTCAATTTTTTAATATTTTCTTGTCTTTTTCTCCCTAGTAATTTCAAAAGCTTAAATAATACAGGTAGAGATAAGGCAGGATGGAAATACTTTTAAAGTAAATTTAATCTGAGATAAAACTCCTGCCTTGTTTTCCTATAGAGGGAATGGTTTCATAATTGGTAAACCTAAAAATTAAGAATGGTTCAGTGATGGATTTTTTCTTTTAGTATATGTTATTTTGTGTTTCCATTTTATGTTATTTATGTATTTGATTTCTAAGTACTATGGTACTTCATTTTTTCAATGTGTCCGCTTAAAAATGAAAGTATATAATTATATGATCTTCTGTAGATGAATTACTTTCTAGTTATGACATTGAAGGAATAAACCATCAGGGAAATATTACTATACACTAGAGGCCTGGTGCACGAAATTCGTGCACTTGGAGGGGTGTCCCTCTGCCCTGCCTATGCCCTCTCGCAGTCCAGGACCCCTTGGGGGATGCCTACCTGCCAGCTTAGGTCCGCTCCCCTGGGCTTAGTCGGACATCCTTAGTGCTGCTGAGGAGGCAGGGGAGGCTCCTGCCACCACCACTGCACTCGCAGCTGTCAGCCTGGCTTGTAGCTGAGCGGAGCTCCCCCTATGGGAGCACACTGACCACCAGGGGGCAGCTCCTGCATTGAGCATCTGCCC